CCAAAATATGGCATTTATTTAATCAAACGTTAAACCCACAGTAAAAAACTCTTGTAATTAAAATCATTGCTGCAACATGAGGCTGAAAAAATTTCCTGCAAATCCTCTAGGTCTTTAAAAAATAAGATAGAATCATCTATCAAGATTAGTTTTAATAAAGTCCTACAAAGAGATAAAGGGACTGAATTACATAAGCCTCTAAAGGTTTCTTCCAGCTCTAATTCTGCCAAAGTTTCCAATTCTAACTCTTTCAAAGTTTCCCTAGTGCTAACTGCCACCCTTTACTTCCAATAAAGGCTGACCCTCCTCTCCTGTGAATGACAAAAAGAGGAAAAAGTACTATTTTATTGCTCCTCTTCCCTGTGAAAACTCTATATCTGCTGTCATCATTAAAAACCAGTAATGTCTGGGGCGCCTGGGGGGCTCAGTTAAGCATCTGCTTTCGGCTTGGGTTGTGATCCTGGGGTCCTGGTATCGAGCCCCAATTCAGGCTTCCTGCTCAGTGAGTCTGCTTCGTCCTCTCCCCACATTCCCTGCCTGTGTTCTCTCTCCCTCAAATAAATAAAATCTAAAAAAAAACCTCAAACACCAACCAAAAAACCTCAAAAGCAACAAAAAAACTCCAGTAATGTCTACATATAGCTGCCATAAAGAACAAAACCCAAATCTTGTGATGTTTCTCCTATGCTCTCTCAGAGCTACCACACTCAGCACTTCTGACACCTGATTGGGGAGGGAAGGGCAGTTTCCACTCCACCAAGCACTTCTGTGACACCAGCTGGTGTCAATTTAACTCAGTTCTGACACTCCCTACCTGGAGATAGTGTCAGATCCCTGAGGTGACGCGCTTGGTACCTCAAGACTGCTCCCCGCTTCCCCCACCCCCCACCCCAGATGCCTGTTCCAAGTCCAGGTTGTCCCGTGCTTCTAACCCATAAGCTATAAATCAGGTTCCCCCCCCAAAAAAAAAAAATCAGATTCCCACCACTTCCTCCTCTGGTTGATAATTTGCAGGAATGGCTCACAGGACTCAGGACAACTGTTTATTTACTGTTACCTAGTTTACTATAAAAAGATATGATAAAGGATACAGATGAAAGATGGAAGAGATGCATAGGGGGCACGGTGTGTGGGAAGGGGCATGATACTCTCCTAGCATCTCCACATGTTCAGCAACCCAGAAGCTCTCTGAACCTGGTACTTTAGGGATTTTTATAGAGGCTTCACCAAGTCAGCATGAGCAATCATTAACTTCATTTCCACCCCTCTCTGGAGAATGATGGGTGTAGGGCTGACAATTCCAAGCTTCTAATCATGGCTTGGTCTTACTGGTGAGCAGCCCCCCTCCAGGAGATCATCCAGTGTCACCTCATTAGAACAAAAAACTCTGCTATCACTGGGGAAATTCCAAGGGATTTAGGAACCCGGTGTCAGGAATAAGGGTCAAAGACTAAATATTAGAACAAATTATGCTCCTACTATTCCTATCACCTAGGAAATTACACAGATTTCAGGCGCTCTGTGCCAGGAACTGGAAGCAGAAACATATATGCATTTTTTCCCCTATTATCTCACAGCTACTATGCAAAAAAAAAAAAAAACAAAAAACAAAAAGCAAAAAACAAAATAGAAAGTAACAAGTGTTGGTGGGGATGTGGGGACTCTGGAAGCCTTGTGCACTGTTGATGGGAATGTAAAACGGTTTAGCTGCTGTGGAAAACAAGATGGCATTTCCTCAAAAAACCAAAAATAGAATTATCATATGATCCAGCAATTCCACTTCTGGGTATATATCCAAGAAAACTGAAAGCAGGTCTTGAGGAGATATCTGTACACCCATGCTCGCAGCAGCATTACCTAAACCCTGAAAGCAATCCAACTGTCCACTGACAAATAGCTAAGCAAAATGTGGTATGTACATACAATGGAATATTATTCAGCCTTAAAAAGGAAGGAAATTCTGATACACACTGATACATGGATGAATCATGAGGACATTTATGCGACATGAAATAAGCCAGACACAAAAAGAAAAATACTGTATGATTCCATTTATATGAGGTACTTAGAGCAAATTCATAAAGAAAGTAGAATGGTGATTGCCAAGCACTGGGAGGAGAGAACGGGGAGTTAGTGTTTAATGCGTACAGAGTTTTTTAGTTTTACAAGACGAAAAAAGTTATGGCAGTGGATGGTGGTGATGGTTCCACAACATAATGAATGTATTTAATGTCACTGAATTGCACACTTACAAATGGTTAAGATACTAAATTTTACATTACATGTATTTTATCACAATAAGAAAAAAGTAGAGGATAAACGAGAAAATAAAAACAAACAGCAACGTTTAATTGTTTTATATGCCCTTTCTACTACAAGATCTATGTACTCAAACTCTAAACCCAAATCCAACAAAGGGAAAGCATATACATTCATTCCTTCAAACACAGAAACTCTTGAGAGTGTAAAGGAATCCCAGAAATTTCTAACTTCTCTCCTGTTCATTCAAAGACAAGAATGCTGGGATACGTAAGGAAATGAATGTGTATCTCGAGTTTAAAAACTCTGAATTTATACTTTCATAATTAAAAGATGACACATACTTGCACACTTAACATCTTACATGTATTTTTATGGCATAATTGGCAACATTTCCCCCAGAAAGTGGGGGAAAATAAATAGGGGGTTGGTGCACTAACATACCATTTTAATTAAAACAAAAACAACTTATATTATTTTAAAGATATTCCTGCTCTCATGAAGTTACCAAAAACCTCTCCTTTGCTTAAGGAAAAAATATTCCTCATATTCATGTACAAAGCTACATCCCTAAAGTCTTTGATTTAAAAAGACTAGTGACAAAGAGTTTTCTTTCAGGTGTTTCCACTAAACCAGTCTTCCAGATGCCACCATAGTGTCTTGAGTGGAATTTTTCACTAAAATACACTAGAAAAAATCAGCCAGAAGTTAGAGCCATACAGATTTTTAAATTTCACTTTAGCAACCTGATATGTCTTCATCTTATTATCAGTCCGCAATCTCTGAAGAAATATCATGCCTGCAAATGCTAGATTGTTAGATTATGGGAGGAATTCACTATTAAATCAGACTATAACTCCTACGTTAAGTGAAAAGCGCACCAAAACACAAAACACCTCTGAAGTGTGAGCACCTTTCTCTTGACTTCCTTTTCCCTCTTAAAAATCATAATCCACTCATTCATCTGCAACGTATTTTCTGACTCCCACCTGCTAAGTTTCCCTGTTACATTCTCTACCACAGCAATTTTTGTTGCTTTAAAAAAAAAAAAAAAGCCTTACATTGTCCATAATGAGAGTGTTCTTATCACTACCTCCCTCACTCAATTATTCCTTTAAAAATGAAAATAGGGATGCCTGGGTGGTTCAGTGGTTGAGCATCTGCCTTTGGCTCAGGGCGTGATCCCAGGGTCTTGGGATGGAGTCCCACGTCGGGCTTCATGCATGGAGCCTGCTTCTCCCTCTGCCTATGACTCCGCCTCTCTCTCTCTCTCTCTCTCTCTCTCTCTCTCTCTCTCTCTGTGTGTCTTTCACGAATAAATGAACAAAATCTTTTTTAAAAAATGAAAGTATATCTTTGGAATCTGTGCTTTACAGTGCTTCCAACTTCAGGGGGAGGTCAAGTCTCTTTTATGTGTTTTCCCTCCAACTCTCATAGTCTTACTGTCAACATGACCTGGAGGAGTTCTTTATTTTCTGTTCCACACCAAACAGTAACAGGCCCATCTATCCCATCTACTTGATGGGGGGGGGGGGGGGGGGCTGCTAGATATTTACATTAAAGCCAAATTAAATCACAATAGTCACACTACTGCTCTTGGGAAAAGAGGACTTTGGGGCAGGAAAATGTTTGCCTTAATATCTAAATGGGGGCAGCCCAGGTGCTGCCTTCAGCCCAGAGCATGATCCTAGAGACCCAGGATCGAGTCCAGCGTCGGGCTCCCTGCATGGAGCCTGCTTCTCCCTCTGCCTGTGTCTCTACCTCTCTGCTCTATCTCTCATGAATAAATAAAATTCAAAAAAAATATCTAAATGGGATTTATAAGTATTAAAGTCAACTGAAATCTCACAACACTCTTCCAACAACACTGATCTTTTTTTTTTTTTTTTTTTTAAGCGGCTCATTTTTAAAAGACGCATTTCAGGAGAATCTGTCAATCCAGAGAAATGGAAGGCTGTTACTGATTACAGTCTTCAATTCAAAAGTCCCCCCACCCCAAAAAAAAAAAAAAATTTTTTTTTCCCCCCCAGAACTCTGGACTTGGCTGGTGATTCAGCCTTGGTTCACCGGAATGGAGACTCATCACAAGCCCCCACCCGGGTTCAACAAGCCGCTGGTGCGACAGCAGCGCTGCCCACGGGGACCACCGACCCCGACCTAGAGCCCGGGGCCGAGGAACGCGTAAGGCTCGAGAGGCACGGGCCGGGGGGTCACGGCCCGATCTGCGGTCCCACGCCTCGCTTGCAGGAGGGGTGGGTATCCCGGAGAAGGAGACTGGGACCACCCCCTAACTTTCTCTGCCTCCTGGTTTTCCGCGCAGAGTTTCAGGGCTCTGCAAGGAAGCCAGCCCCTCGAGGACGCGAGGAGGGAGCCTCGAGAGGAAGAACCGAGCCCTCCAGGGGGCCCTCCCGGGGGCCCGCGGGTCAGCCCGTACCTCCGGCCAGCGCAGGAGCAGCAAGGTACTGGGGCTCGGAGCAGAGGACAGGAGGGAGACCGCAGGCGCGGAGACACGCGGGAGCCCCTCCGCCGCCCTCGAGCCCTCCTCGCTCGGGCCAGGCCCGGTCCGCGCCAGGACGCCGCCGCCCGCACACCTGAGCCCAGCCCGGCCCCGCGCCGGCGCCCGCGCCCGCCCCCGCGACCTCGCCCCGCCGGGCCGCCCCGCGCCGGCTCCGCACGGGCGCGGCTCGCGGGGCCCCGGCCCCCCACCTCCGGCTCAGCGCGGCCGCCCGCTCCCACCATACCTGGCCCGCGGCGGCGGCGGCGGCGGCGCTGCTCCTCACATACCCGTTCCGCACCTCCCCGTTCGCCACACAGCCGTTCGCCCGCAGCGGGCGGCGGCAGCAGCAGCCTCCGGGCCCCGGCCGCATCGTCCCGGCAGCACCAGGCGCAAGGCAGGCTCTGCAGGCGGCGGCCCAGGCGGCGGCGGCGGCGGCGGCGGCGGCTCCAGCCCCGCTCCGCACCCCACCCACCTCCCCGAAACCGGAAATGGCTGCACGCCGCCGCCAATTACCCGCCCGGCCGTCACGGGGGGCGGGGCCGGGCCCGCGGAGGCGGTCGCTCGCTCCGGGGCCCCGCAGCCTCGGGGGAACGGGGCGGGGCCGGGCAGGACTGCTGGCCAATCTGCGGGAGGAGGGGGCGGTCCCATGCTGCCGTCTGGCCAATCACGGGCGACGGCAAGGCGGCTCGCCGGTGTCGAGGAGGGGGCGGGGCTGGCGGCTCCTCGGTCCACGCAGAGGAGGCGGGGCCCAGGGAGAACTGGGCCAATTAGACTGTGAGGAAAGGAAGGGGGCTGAGCCCGAGCGTCCGGAGCGGGTCCCGGGCTCTCCCCGGCCCTCCCGGACAGGTGGCGCCCGCTCTGCCCTTGCCTCCGGGGAAGTTCTGGGGCATGAATCCCCGGCGGAGACAAAGCTCCTTTATTTAATTAGCTAACTCCTCTGTGGGTGTCTGTAGAAGAGCATTGTTAGCGTTCTCTCACTGTTCTTCAGCGAGCACCTCACAGTAACACATTTCTTAGTAAGTCGGATGTCTCCTTGCCCTTCACATCTGCCCCTAATCGGGGTTTTCTGTACGACTTCCTTTAAAGAGTACTTCCGTAAGAGTCAGGAAACCTGAATATTTAGCTACTTTTGGAGCCAAAGTCTTTTTTTTTCTTCTTCTTTAAGATTTTATCTATTTATTCATGAGAAACACACAGAGAGAGGGAGGGGCATAGGCAGAGGGAGAAGCAGGCTCCATGCAGGGAGCCTGATGCGGGACTCGACCCCAGGACCCCAGGGTCACGACCTGAGCCAAAGGCAGATAGATGCTCAACCACTGAGCCACCCAGGTGCCCATAAATTCTTTAAAATAGAATTAACACTTCCTGTTTCATAGGCTCATTGCAAGAAATATGTTAATAAGACATTGTGCACCTGTCATACTGCCTGGGCCATTGTAGGAGCATAATAAATATCATTTTTGCACCCCTTGAGTTCTCTCTTCCGACAGGGGTTAGTAAGGAAGTGGATCTACATCATAACAAGAGACTTTTGGGTTACCCATAAAGAATTTGGTATCATAGTAAAGAATATTGACTCTGGAAGTGGTCTGGGTTTGAATCCTGACTGTGTCACTTACTAGCTGCATGACTGCTATGTACTTTCATCTGTCCAGTGGAAGTGATAATAGTTGTCCTGAGGATTTCAGTTAATACATGTAGTATGTTTTGTATAAGACCTTGACATTAGTAAAAAAATTCATTAAGTGTTGGTTATTTTTTAATTTATTATTTATTTATTATTATTATTATTTATTATTTATTATTATTTATTTAGGGGGGGGGCAGAGAAGGGGTAGAGAGAATCCTCAAGCTGAGTCCCAACGTGGGGCTCAATCTCAGGCCCTTGAGATCATGACCTGAGCCTAAATCAAAAGTCATATGCTTAAGAGTGAGCCACCCAGGCACCTCAAGTGTTGGTTATTTTTTAATTGCTGAATAGGCCTATGAGAGCCCCTGCATTCTTCCCCCTACCCCATCTTTGCAAAGAGATTGACAAGCTATCAATTTTGCATGGCTTAGGAGCTAAACAATTTAACAGCAAGTGGACAGAGCAGGTATCTTTTTTGAACCAACAAACACTATGATTCCCAAAGAGCAGAACATAGTTGGAAGAAGTATGAGGCTAAAAGAAAAACACATGGCTTACATCTCATGGAGCTTATATTCTAGTGAGAGAAAAGATGCACATGTATAATGCAAACAGCAATAAAAGACCTACAGGAGGCTGAAGTTCTGATGAGGAAGGCTGGACCACAGTGACAAATCTAGACTTTCCATGTACAAAGTCTTCAGGGAAGGAATCTGATTGGAAGCAGGGCTAAGGGATTTAATTGAAGGTTAGACAGTAAGTCAAATGAATTTGGAAAAGACCTGGGAAGAAGATGTAAGATGAGCTTAATATTGAAGGATGAGTAGTATTTGGAGAACTGGGAATGAGAAGTAAAGGGAGGGTATTCTCAGAAGACAGAACCTTCAGAAGCTCAGGTGCAGAGTCTAGAACAAGCAAGGCCTTAAACTAGAGCCTAAGAGTGAGGACCGCGGCTAGATTAGAGGAATCCTGTTAGCCAGTTCCTCTCTCCAGAGGGTAGAACACAGGTCCTTGTCTTGTTCTGCCACTTACTCACCATGTGTGGTCTTGAATGAATCATGCAAACATCAGCCTTGGTTTCCTCACCCATCTTACAAAATTAATACCTGTACTACTGACCTTGCAGGGCTTTTGTGAGCGTCAATGATATAACACACAAAGGATCTGATAACCTTGCACACCATTGCTAAATCACAAAAGTGATGCCATGGAAGGCGGCAGGTAACACCCCAGGCTCCATGCAAACAGGAAAACAACTCCTTCCTGATGTGTAAGCCACTTCATCACCATTTTACAGAGTTCACATGCAAAGTTTTGGGCTAGGCACTGGGGTTACAAGTCTTCCTTCAAGATTGCTCAAACCACTTCAACTGTCAAACTTTTCTTGAATTCCAACCTCCTCACAAAATTAGTCTCTTTCTACACTGTGAACTTTATACACACCTGTGTAAGTAATCATGCATCACATTACTTTGGGATTCTTTTTTTTTTTTTTTTTTTTTTTGAGAGGGAGATTATACAGTGGTTCATAGCAAGAGCTCCATGGTCATACAGACCTGGAGACCCAACGCCAGCCCTGAAAAGTCTTGTGACTTTGGCAAAGCTGCTTGACTACCCTGTGACTCAGTTCCTTCATCTGTAAAATAAAACACACTTCATACAGTTGTTGTGAGAATTAAAAAAAAAAAAAAAGGCATTTAGTACCAGGACCCATCACGTAATAGTCAATAAGTGCTGGCAATCATCTGCTGAGTAAATAAATTATTTGTTAAATGAATGAATGAGAATACATTTATACCCTCAACTAGACAGAAAGCAAGCTCCTTGAGGTCAGGGCATTCTATAATTCACCTTTGGGTTCCCAGCACCTAGCACAGTGCCTGGCACATAATAAATGCTCAATAAGTGTCTGATAAATAATACATGGACAAATGAATTAAAAGCTGGCCTTGCCTCCAAGGAGCCTCCTATCTCATGGCAACTGCGTTGAGAGTCTTGTGATTGCAGTTAATGTAGGTCAATATCAGAAAACCTCATCAAGAAAGGTAGAATTATTGGAACTATCCTCAAGATAAGGAAGTATGGGGACTCAAAATCCCAACCTCAGCAACAGAAAATTATAGGCCTTTATCCTAGCATGAACCCACTTGGGGGTTGAGGCTTAGCTCTCAGCCACCTACCACTTTCACATTCCCTAGGTCAAATTTATAAATCCCTAGGAAATAGAGGTCTGATTGGCCCAGTTTATGGTGAGATGTCTAATGCTCGACCAATCCATGATGGCCAAAGCACAAGGTCAAGCTGCTGGAGGTAAGAAATCAGTTACAGAGAAGAAAGGACAACCCTATCATTGTCTGGTACTGAGAGATAGAACCTGGGAATGAAAGGAACAAATAACAATCACTTGAAAAAAGTGTTGATGGAGGAGGCTTCCAATTTTTTTTTTCCAATTTTTTTTTTTAAGATTTTATTTATTTATTCATCAGAGACACACAGAAAGAGGCAGAGACATAGGCAAAGGGGGAGAACCAGGCTCCATGCAGGAAGCCTGATGTGGAACTCGATCCTGGGACTCCGGGATCATGCCCTGAGCCAAAGGCAGATGCTCAACCACTGAGCCACCAGGTGTCCGAAGAGGCTTCTAGTATAGCATTTTCATTTTATTTTTTTTTTTTTGAAGTAAGCTCTATGCCAACATGAGGCTTGACCTCACGACCCTGAGATCAAGAGTCACCGGCTTTACCGATTGAGCCAGACAGGTGCCCACAGTATAGCATTTTTAAAGATTTATTATTTATTTATTTATTTATTTATTTATTGTTGATTTATTTATTTATGAAAAAGAGAGAGAGCATAAGCTGGCGGAGGGGAGGGAAGGGGCAGAGGGAGAGGGAGAAGCAGACTCCCTGATTAGCAGGGAGCCCCATGTGGGGCTCCATCCCAGGTCCCCTGAGATTACCACCTAAGCAGAAGGGAAACACTCAACCATCTGAGCTGGCCAGGCACCCCCAGTATCGCGTTTTTAAAGGGCCATGCAAGACTGCTGCCTAGGAAGAGAAACAAAGTGAGAGAAGGCAGGCTATTTAGTGGCAGGAGCAGGGAGCCTACACTGTCAGAGGTCTTGGATGCACACATGCGGGTTAATGCTGGCTGACTTAAACAGGACAGGATCCATTGGAAGGTTATTAGCAGCTCAGTGACATAGAAGGCTGGAGGACCAGGATTCGAAAAAGTCAGGAGAAAGGGGATCTCAGAGGGCTACGCAGTGAGGCCCTCAGAAGGGCTTGTGGCAGGAACTGTTTGGTAAGTGTACCACCAAAATAAACAACCTCCAGCCACTTTTATTGTCTTGGGTCACTTGCCCAAGAGTCAAAGTCCCTGGAGAGAGCACCTGACTGGCTGAGTTTAGGACACACGGGTACATACAGGGAGGGGCTGAAGGGGGCAAACAGAAGGATGTGGTCCCTCCCACTCACGGTGGGAGTCACTTACCAAAATTCACTCTCCCAAAAAAAGGATGTGGCGCATCCCGGGTGGCTCAGCCCAGGGTGTGGCCCTGGAGACCCTGGATGAGTCCCATGTCGGGCTCCCTGCATGGAGCCTGCTTCTCCCTTTGCCTGTGTCTCTGCCTCTCTCTCTCTCTCTCTCTGTCTCTCATGAATAAGTAAATAAAATATTTTTTTAAAAAAAAGGACGCAAAATGAAGAGAGGTGATTTCCCAAAAGGAGATTGGGGACCTCATAGAAAAAGGGAGTGTACACCAGGCAGGCAGAAATGATGAATACCACTTAAAACTGCAGAAGAATCATAAGGGAGAAAGGACCCTTGAGA